TGTAAAAAACGAGCGTTCTTGCTCATTTTGCTTCCGAGAAACATGCAAAACGGGACGGAAAACATGAAATTTTGCAATAATCTTGCCCAAAACTGTGATAATTTTTCTAATTTCATAGACAACAGAAGACTGTATTTTTTTCAGATAACTCCCTCCCCTGAATTTAAAGCTGGATCCGCCCCTGCATTAATTATAACAAACATCTCGAGCGTTGTAAAATATTTTTTGGATTATAGCGTATGAAGCCAACTATCAGTAATTTTTCATTGAGAATCTCACGCTTTTTTGCGCCTCAATAAGGATCATCCTGTTCGTTTTCAAATATTATAAATGTTTCAACAGCCAATTGTAAAATCAATATTGTAACTAAACCATGTTTTTTTATTCGTAGGGCTCTCAGATGGTAGTTTGCCACGACTGCAAGCTGATGGTATTGCAAATAATTAAATCCGCTCGCACTAATCGCTCAGCTATCAGAAATAAAACGCTACAAAGTTTAACTCTTAATTTATCTCCGGTATTCTAATTAATTGAATGTGATATAGTTCGATTTTATGTGAATATTTCGGTGTTAAGTTTTGGTATTTTTCTATGAAGTAATTACCCAAACCTAATTCCGGAGTATTTTTAGTTTTACTTGTGGTGTAGAATAATTAGATTATTTGATTACAAGTTATTTAAGAAAAGAAATATATCTGAATTAAAAATACTGACCTAAACTAGATAAGTTCACCATTATAAAAATGACCTAGTATTCTAACTTAAGCTAAATATATATTTATTTCGAAAACATTGTCAATAGAATGTAGGTAAAGTATTAAACTTAAATAATATTTCTTCTATTAAACCTCACTTTAAAACGCTTAAATCTATCAAAGACTTTGATTATGTGATAAATTAGATGATTGTATTTCCGTTTCAACCAAATAATGTAGATGATACCAAAGGCACCTTTTGTTACATTCCCTTATTATAGGTTTGAAATATGTAGTACAAATTTTATGGATTTTATTATTTATTATATTATAGTTTATAGAGAAAAGGCAGAGGGTGTAAATTGTTGTGGACCAATCTGTTGTTTCAAACCAGTGACAGTTGCAAACTAAAGTTACACTGTTCGGTGGTCCTTTTCTTACAAAATGTTACGATCTAGATATGTTATTACTCTTCCTCAACAAACAGTTTTGTTTGTTTGATGTTTCAACATATGTTTGCAGGCTAAGTTGTATGTACTATAATTTTATTTATTTACTGATTTATTAGAAGGTGCAAAAATTTGTATTAGTATTATTGCATATAACTCGTGAACTTAACTAAGTGTTTACATAAAGTAAGAAATGCAATCAGTTTTACGACTTTGTTCAAAGGATCGACCATTTCTGGTTACATGGCCTACAATTTTTGTTCAAAAATGTATTTTTAGCAAGTTCATAACACTTTTATCAATTAAAAACGCAGGCATTTCTGATGAATGGGTATGATACTTGAGTACGAGCGCATAATTCATTGGAAAACTTCATCAGAAAATCTGAAAGAAAGCTTGAATGACTCATAAACTGCAAAAAACTACATAGAACCATTCGTTAAGTCAGTGCTTTTAACACCTGTTTACTACTTTCTCTATGGACTTTCATGTACCTACTACTAACTACAGGAAACAATAAAACGCAGCATTTGCTGTAGGAAATCTTTTTATATTACATAAAAAAAGATTGTAAACGATGTTCGTTTATATGCGGACAATAGAAGTCAAGAATATAATAACAAATATCATAATCAATAGCATATTTCGCATTATTTCCTTGAGCTATATCGTTGAGAACAAATATAAATTATTGTTTAAATTAATTAAAATTTCTCTTCATCAAGACCTTGCTTGAAGAACATCATTACGGGCACTGAATCACCGTCGATATCACGATATTCCATAAGCCCTACCAAACCATCAATATCCATTGATTCTCCAGTGAAGAATTGGAGATCTTTAAACCTTGAAAGTATATCTTTCATTGTTTTATTAATGTTATTTTTAAAAATATCTACTTGGTCGGGGGCATCTTGTTCTAATTTAGGAATCAATCTGAAATAAAAAATTAATTTACTAAATGTTCTACTTTCATTAGAAAAATAAATGTCTTATACGCATAATAAGCTATTGCAAAATACAGTATTCATTCCAAAATAGAATAATAACTTCATGATACATAAAACCCACCAGTTTTGAAATACAGGGTGTTAAAGATTTTTTTAAGCAGCTTTTACTTGATGAGAATGTTTTAAATTTTTCTCAATTCATTACACTTAGCAATGTAATAAATCAATAACAATTTAAATATTATTTCGCATGGTTTTGCTCTGAACAGAATATTGACTAATGCTGTCCAGTATTAGTTCATGCTATATTTTGTCTGAAATTGAAACAAATATATTTTTAATCGAGCTCAGATATTTACAGGTTTTAGAACTTACATCTTTTAAAAACTGACTCAATCATCAAATCGAAATTAGTCAACCACAGAAACAAATAATGATTAAACTTACATCATGCAAATGTTCTTTTAACGTTTGTTTAATATTTCTTTGAATATGCTTGAATCTAATACAAATTAACTGCTTGTAAGAGTAAAATTAACGTATTTCAAAAATCAAAAAACCTTCGAACATTCATTTGAGTCAATACAGGGTGTCCCACCGGAAACCGCCGAGATCTATATCTGGCAAACTGTAATTAAGCATTTTGACTAATTCGTCGTGATTCCAAACAAAACACGTTTTTCTTTCTCCGATAACCAAAGGTTAAGAAAATGAACTATCGAACTTAAGCAATGCAATCAGCATTCTCCTCAAGCACACTTAACAAAACTTATTAATTTCCATCAAATTTCAAGTTCATGTACATTTTTTTGACCTAATTGTAAGTAGTATGATCTTTTCACTCACTTTTTCATGTAATCCTTCAGATATAAAGTATAGGACTTCTTGTCAGGGAAAGCATAAGATTCCTGCAGTCTGTGGTTCAAAACAATGTCCACTCCGCTTTCAGCACCCTCCTCGGTCCCTTCATCAGCCTCTTCAGCAGATGGGTTTGCCCCAGCAAGTTGGATTTCGCCGTTCTTACGGGTTACGTGCTTTCCATAAACCTCGTAGATTACGCCATCGACCAACTTGATTTTGTAGGTATCAGAGAACATTTCGTCTCCTAAAATGCCCCAAACAAAATATTTAAGTATTTACTTGGAAGAAAAGTAAATATGTCAACAACTTTTTGGTTAAGTTTAATTTTCACGTTAAACAAATTATTCTAGTAAAAAAACAGGAAACGAAAAGGAGTAATCTAATGTGAGGATAATATTTACCAGTAAATTTGTCTTTGTAGATCCTCATTTTGGACGATGATTTGGATTTTTTCAGATATTCCTACTAGAACCACCGACCACTTTGAAGTGACGTGAAGAAAGAAAGAGTCTGTGGAAAGACCCACAGATTACTCATCATAGAGAAAATGAAGTAAGAGAGGTGGCTGCAGTGTGACCAGATTGGGCTTCTTATCGGAGAAATTTGGGATGGAAATTTTGAGAAAGTCGCCAAGCGACTTTTGGGCGATATCAACATTATCAAACTCACAAGGTGATTTGCACGTTTATATGCACCTTATACTTTTATAAAATATTCAATATTTTATAAAAAATCCAAATATTCAATCTTACAATTAGCAGTGCTAAAGAGTCTTCGATTGAGCATTAATTCCTGCTGACGTTTCCTACGTATATGCTAATAATTTTTGAAAGGGATGTTTTTTTATAGCATTGTATTACAAAATGTGGCTATGCAAACATACGGAATTCTGGTTAACTGGTTAAATGTTAAAACTTGGCACCGTGTTACGCCACAGCAAGCTGACCGTCAAGCATGGAAAGCTTTGGAGGGCAAAACAGGTATCTAGATTATTGGCTAGTTAGAAGCGGGAAATTTAAATTGTAAAAGGTACAAAATACTCTGGGTGCTTCAATCTCGGTGTCTACACATGCTATCTTGGTTATTAATAGCAATAGAAAATGTGCTGTTTACTCATCAGGGTGCTTACAAATTCCGATTGAACGTCGAAGTAGAAATCCCCACCAGAAGTACTTCCATATCAGAGACAAGTACTTGTCAAAAAGTACTCTGTCAAAAAGGGAAAGGTTTGTCACCTCGGCGTAATGTACCATACCGTGATAAAAACCAAGGAAATGGGAAAAAGAAACCGAATAATTAGTAATGAGAAAAAGCGTTTTTCCTATAATTGACCAACGGGGGCTCAGAAAGATTAATATATTTATTTGGATCACGGAATTTGAATCAGCGGTTATTGGCATAACTATAATACTTACTTTGTAATCGGAAACGTGGTCAAAAATTGATTTTAGGTGCTTTTTTGGTATTTTCCAGACCGGAAGTGCGATTTCCGCAAAGAAAATGATAATTTTTGAATCAGTATTTTCTTACGTTGACTGATATTCTGAGATGCCATTTTGACATGCTCTCGAATGTCGCATTAAACCTTCATATTTTCAGTAATAAGAAGCTTTTCAAGATTTTGTTATGTTTACATTGGGTTGAGCCATTCAAGGGAAGAAAACTTCCGGGTAAGTAGCCAAATAATGTACTATACAGTATCGTAGCAAGTTTCATAGATAAAGACGAGTAAAGGCAAGTTTAACTCGCGCCTGGGCACAATACCTTTTTAGCGCGTCCCCGCCCTCATTCGACCCAAAAATTTTTTGTTTTGCGGACCTTTTGGCGCCCCCTTTGTGAGGAGCGCTCGAGGCACGATGCCCCCCTTGCCCACCCCTCGCTACGCCTCTGTACTTGATTGATGATTCATTAATAATTACATGGCAAGTTTCGTAAATGAAATGTTATGGAATTTAATAATTTCATGCAGCTACTTGCGAGAAATATTCATATGTTGATTAACATTTACAAGTTTGGGAAAATTTAGCATTCAATGCTGTTTCAATGAAATTCATTCAATTTCAAAGCAGTTTTTTCACATCTGATGGATATAGTTGTCGAATCCCAAATCGGTTTTAAATTTATCAAGCCACTCAACACTCGCTATAAAATTGCCTTCGGATTAAAGGGATTTTATTGTATTCTACAGTGTGGGCCTTAGTTCTAAGCTTTTAGGAAAATTGGGGAATGTGCGCGTTTCTACAAAAGAACAATTAAGAACTACGTCATTAATAGTTAATCAAATTTTTGTGTCTACAATGTAATGATTTTTACAGATACTTTGCTTTTCCAGCTGAAAATCTATCGTCCAACAGTTGAGCTTTCTTTAAAATCGCCTTTTTTTGTGCGTCATCAAACTTATTGACTTGTAAATCAACCTCCCGGTTAAATGGCTTCCTTTCCGCCACGGCTTCCGTCTGAAACAATTTACCCGAAAAATTAAATTGCTATTAACTACCGAAAGCTATCACTCGCCTTTTCACTTTTCTTGATTTTGTCCTGATGGATATCCACCAAACTCTTTGATTTCCTTTTGTGTTTTTTCGACATTGACTCCAACTCCTTGTCGCGCTTTTCCAACTCTCTCAACTCAGCCTCGGCTTTCAAGTCAATTTTCTTCTCTTTGGATTTTTGCTTGTCTTCCTTGCCCGCAACATCAGTCCAAGATGATCTTGTGAAACAACCATTTAAACCGAATGCTTTACTGACATGAGCTAATCTAATTAAGTAATGACTGGTTACCTATCGGATAAATCTGGAGCTGCACGGTTTCGGAACTGTCTAGGGCCTAATCCAAAATTAGCCGCTTTGGCTTCAGGCAGCTCAGTCATCCACGACTCTCTCACAGGCTCATTTTTCCCCGGTGCCAGTTTCTCGATTTGCATCTGCAGAGCTCGTTCTTCTAATGCTATTTGTGCAGCTGAGTAGCTGAGGTGACCTGCAGGTAGAGGTCCAAACGATTCATCTTCCTCAGCGTCATCCTCCTCCTGAGCCTGTTGCTCTAGTTGCCTCCTTAAATGGGGCGGCAAACTGGGCCCGATGGTTTTTTCAGGATTACTCGGGGGTGGCTCATCAGTTTCTTTAAGTTGCTTCTGAAGTAGATGTGGAGGCAGTTGAGGCCCAAATGTTTGTGGACCAGGGTCTTGAAGTGGATTTGGCTCAGGGTCTGACTTAATGACTGCAGGGGGCAACGAGGGTCCAATCAGTGAGGGTTCTGCTGTCTTGGGCAAAAACTCATCAGGAGTCACAGGTCCAATAAATTCACTCATTTTGCGATCAAACTGAACAGCGGATTATGTCATTTAAAGTAAACTGCAACAAAAAAAACATCGTAAATTGATTCATTGATTAAATCGTGGCAGGATTTTTGTGGCATTCATGAAGTACTCGCAAAAATTGAAACCCTGGGTGCTTTATTCCTAAACTCACATAAATATGTACATAGTAAAACAAACTGTTAGCTAAGCTGCAACTGAAATAGCTTCCCTTAACTAAAACACCATTTTCTTGATTTTCTTGCTACTGTATTTGACGCTTTTAACAATCCCCGCAGTCAAAATGCATTTCAGGCTCTGACTGACTGACGATTTCCATACAATTTCATTGATTCTTTGACTCACAATCGTTCCACAGTCTGGATCGTACGCAATGGCTCGAAGCACATCCTCTGTGTCTTGTCTAAAATTTCCCTTATTCCAGTACCGTGTTAGCAACTTTTGGGGCCATCTGGGTAATTGATTTAAGTGGTGTAGTCGAGCTAAAGGGCTGACGTCTTGAGCGCAATACTTTGAATGGTCAGGGGAAACAAGAATGTCTGTATGATTGTCGGTGAGAACATTATTATCCTTAATCATGGGGAAGTCAATATAATCATGCAGATGCAGCAGGAATGGTTTATATAAACTTCTGAAGTTGGGCATTTGCGCTTTAACTATGTTGTTGACCTTGTTCCTATTTTCGCCGAAGATCATCCTGAAATCGCCCAGGTAACTTAAATTGGAAATCGTGTGGTAAAATTCATATTCGCTAAATGATTCCGGCAATGTTAACAATGCGGCATGCACTGCTGACTGTAGGTTTAACTGCAGCGCAGTCTGCAACTCTGAATCCAGCGGTTTTTTTATTATTTCGACTGGTTTATGCAAACGCCCTGCTAAATACAAATGAGACCATTCCAGCAAGTCAGTTATAATGTCCTCAATAGCCACTACACCGTACTTTACTAAACAATCATCCACATTAACCAATGTATTAAAGTATATTTTTGCACCAATGTTCCTCTGATAACGAGCAATTAGTTCATGCCCGAGATACTTCAGTCCACTGTAATGGGAAGGGTTGATTTGTAAGTTTGCCTGATGCCACGTTACTGGGTCTTTAACAGCAAACACCAAGTCGATCATATTCTCTTTTCCATCATTATTTAACTGCTTTTTCACTCCCGAGCCATACGCAAAACAAAATGTGAAATTCTGAGGAAACTTGGTCATAATCCTTTGATAGATAGGAGGCACTATTGTAATTTTGGCCAGCGACATTTTTATGGCAAATTAGTCGTCTGAATAGAGTTTCTCATTAAACATTAATTTCGATTGCAGATATAAATAAATAACATAACCAATAACTTACCAAGTCAAAAATCTGAACATTTTTGGAATGTTTGTCATTGTCAGTGTGACACACAGGTGACAAATGTATTTATTATTGAAACGGTGGGATTGTTGTCGCATTTAATCTATTGCTTTCTCTATCTGGATCTTATTTGCGAATGAAATGTGCTCGTTATTTCAATAATATTTTAACGGATCGGGACTTAATGTTTCAACTCCATATTAATTTCCGTATTGTTGTAATTAAGAACCCATAAAATCAGGTATTTATTTTAAGACATAATATTAACCGATAAATATTAATATTGTAACTTTAATAATTAACTTGATTGCTCGAATCAGCTTTTCGATATTTTATTTAAAATTAAGCTCTTAGCGGGTTTATTATTGCAAACTTTTTGAAGTTCTAATTATTACTAGTTCTATTATAGGGCAATAGTGCCAATTTTGAATTACCCTGTATATATGCAAAGTAATGTCATACTCGCGAGGAATTTAGATAAAAGAAGTGGTAGAATTTGGTTATGTTAGTGGGAAGTGTAACTTTTGTATAGAGCTTGAAAAAAATTCTTTTTCTATTAGTCTTCAAGTTTGCATGTAATTTGATATATTTTATTTGTTGACCATTTGAACTCAAGCACCCAACATATAAGCGGAAAGGTAAGTGAATGGTTTTGATTAACATGTGCTTACCCCATGGGGAGCTTAGTTCTACGATTTCTGTTGTGTATTTTCTTTGATAATTCTTAATATAATGCCCTAAACTGGCTGAATGCTAAGTCGTTTTCGACCACTTTCCAGTCATTGAAATTCACTTCTTTTCGATAAGAGTACTAATTTATTTAGCTCTCAGCTACCAAAAATGTAAATATTTGTTCCCTTTCTTGCCTGGGCACACTTTTAAAGTACCCACATCGGGCACACAGCCAAATTAATATAAAGTTAAAAGACTTAAATCGGGTAGACATTGGCTAAAGTTTTTTCGTTCAAACTTCTCACTGATCCAAGTACAGTAACAACTTAAAAATTTGTAGATGCCAGCAGTACCAGGAGGTGTTTATTCTCACCAGGGTCCCTCATGTATGGACAAAATGAAAACGGGTTTTTTGCTAGGATTTTGTGTCGGCATCGCTAGCGGAGGCATTTTTGGTGGATTTTCAGCCTTAAGGTTAATTTGACAGCATTTGGAGGTACATAATTTATTTTATTCAATTTTTTTTGGTTTAGGAGCGGCTTGAGAGGGAGAGAGTTGGTGAACACAGTCGGAAAAGTAATGTTGCAAGGCGGTGGATCATTTGGAACATTTTTAGCAATTGGTTCAGGTTTGAGGTGCTAGCGCCTAGAAAGAGACTGAATATTACTAGTCGAGGAATGTAATTAATTCTTGGTGTAGATATTCGGGATGCCTGTTTGATGGAATAAATGTTAGTTAGAAACAACCAAGTAGACTGAAAAAAATTCAATCGAAATATATTTCAACAAGGAAACACAATTTCAAATTGCTTTAACATGTTATAGATAATGGATTTCAATATGGTATCTAAAAAACTAGTTCTTAAATTGCGATTAAACTAAAGATAAATAAAGTTTCGTGCTTTTCGCCTAGATTCTGCACAATGGATAACAATAAAATGTTTTTTAAAAACTATACATTCACAGGCGATACGCAACCTATTCATAACATAAATACATTAATGTAAAAAAAACTTATTTGACAATTAATTTATAAATCACATTTATATTAATTTCGTACTTATAGCAGGGCTGAAATATCCCAGATTTTAATAACTCTATCTTGGCCAACAGTCACCAATTTCTTTGAGGTTTCATCCACATCCATTGATAATATACAGTGTTTAGCATCGTGAAAAGTTGCCAGCGATGGTCTCCTAGCCCACACGAAAAAGTTAGATTAGATGGTATTTGACTTAGTTTAGTTTGGGGTGAAATCAGGATCATACTCACTCTTTGTCTTTGAGAGCATTGTGGCAGGGATCACACACACGTACAGCAAACTCAAAGCCCATTGATGGAATCGACAGTCTACCCTGGGAGCATTTTTCGCATATGGCCTTTCCACAATAACGACAATGATGTTGTCTTATGCCCAGTTGTCTTTGATCCATCATTGCTCTGAAAATACAACACAAATATCTAATAGAGCGCACATGAATCTACGTGCTTGGAGATACCGGATTTTTGCTGCAATCTTAAGTCAATAAGTTTTTTATCAATTGTTTCAAACAGGGTTACGACTTCTGATTCTTATTTTGATATCTCGAACGTAATCTCTTTGACTACTAGCCTATTAGATCTTTAATCTGAGGATGATGGAGGATGAGGAATGACGGTAGTTTTTATATAAGGTTGAAATATTTACTCAAAACTTCGAGCTCTTGTTTACATGTGAACCAACGGCAACTCTGGGAATAATTAAAAAAGAACCGGAGACATTTTCGATAAAAAATTATCTAGTTTTGCAGAAAAACAGAGTATGCATCTTAGCATCATGCACTTACCGTATATTCCAGAAGAAGGGTTTGTTGCAAAGCTGACATAAATCTGACTCTCCCCAAACAGGGGTTTCTTGACGTGGATGAATCATATCCCAAAAGACTATAACTGCATCCTCGCCAGCACTAATCAGTTGCTTCGTCGAGTCAGAGTAGTGCAAGGCTGAAACCTAGGCGGAATAACTTAATTATTATACGGTAATTATTACAAATCAGTTCACTAAATTACCTTACTGTGGTGGCCTCCAAGCTCGTAGGCATTACCCTGTTGTCCTCCAATATCCCATACGATAATATTGTGATCAAAAGAGCCACTGAAGAGCATTTGCCTGGCAACATCCCACGTTAGAGACCTGATCGAACCGCTGTGCCCTTTTAGCGTAGTAATTACACTAGGACCATTGTTATCCAACTTAAGCATGGTAATCTGACCAGAATAATCGCCCACGAACGCATGTTTCGATTGTGCGTCAAATCTACCCAATGAGTTAAGGGCCCAAACTTTCACTGCTAGTCGATTCAGATTTCCTATATGCGACAAAAGGATACTGTAACGAAGTGCACCAGGACTCAGCATTAAACACTCCAATGTTCCGCCCAGTTTGGGTACAATTATACGAGAAGACTTTGTCTCTGCCCACGCTCAGGATCCATTCACAGGTGATGGCAAAGATAATATCCGTAACTCTTGCTTGATGGGCCAAATATTCGCGTACCGGCATCATCCGATTGAAGTCTGACGCTAAAGAAAATTCTGATACGGTTCCATTTTCTTGGCCTATGAACAACTGGCGGGTTTCTACAGTGTAATATACAGATGTGGCTCCACTGGGCATGCACTGGCATATACTGGGCCAGTATTGACCAGAGTCTCTTTTTAACCAGACTCGAACAGTTCTAGCAAAAAACAGAAAGTTTTCACAATGCAGCAAAATTTGTTAACATTTTCAAAAGTTTTTTTCTCTAGAGTAGAGTGTTCGCAAGTGTTCTTCTGAAGAACAGACTACGGACGGAAATAGATTGAGAAACAGCAAGTTCTGTCTGTTTTTCTTCCCAAAAAAAATATGACGAAAATTTCACAATTTTAGCAACAACGGTTTAGAAAATCATACAAAAAAACACTCCCTTCAAGGGGTTCCGATCTCAGTTAGTAAAGCATATTAGAGGTATGTTTGTTTACAAACACTTCCTGTTATTTTAATCTCTACAATCTCCTAAAATATCGCATCCTTGTAATACAGTGGAGATATTACCAGAGGAATCTAGATGCGATTTGTCACATACACAAAATCTGTATATGAAGAAGAGGCTACTTGTTAAGTGCTAAGTAAACTGAATTGCCTATGCAGTCATTAACGTTTTATCAACGCAAACGTTTCCAACAGTATGACCGTGAATATTTGCATCAAAACAATAAATATAAATTAGTCCTGCCAAATATAGATTTTTTAGTGACTTAGTAAACAAATGAGCCTATTAATTTCTTTAATGCTGCTGCGTCAAACACAAATACCGTCTTTGTGAGACTGCAAATGATGATTTCCCAGGGCAAATCGACTTACTTATCATCTGAAACACTGATAACACCATCTTCTCCGGGAATAAGGGCGGCTGCATTAATTTCGTCGCTGCAGCCTTCGAGTTTCGAAAGTAGAACGGGCTTTTTCGTTGTGCAGAATCTATCGTTGGTCTGTGTAGCCGGTTTAATTTCTGCAGCCATTTTCACCTAATTTTGTTTGAACACTTTTGTCAAAACAACTTTTTTTACACTTTTTGATGTGACACTTGCATACAAAAGACAGTTGGGTTAGTGTTGGTTGGGCATTGCTAGTCCACTGTCTATGCGGATCTATAGCAGGCTTGCCGTGGAAAATCATGTTAAATGGGTTATTTTTTTTAATTAAAAAAAAAAGTACGTTTTAATTTTATAGATATTCAGAAATTATGAGGAAATGGCATGGGATTAAGTACTTTATGTGTGGGACCCAATGAGAATTTTTATCCTGTAGGTTTATCTAAATTGATTAATTCAAAAATGGCGTTTTAAACATTATTCGGTTAAAATTCAATAAAAATAAATTGAAACTGAAAAAATCGCTTAAAAAACTATTTTGTCGTCAATCCAAGTGACTTGATGTTGCCAAATCACGTCCTCATGTGTGGCTTTTTACGGGCTTTCAAACGTAGGCTGTTTTAACGGACAAACTGGAGCCACTCCCGAGTTTGTAAATAAATATAAAACTTTTTAATTTGGCAGTATAAATTAAATTTCAAAAGCACTTACTTAAGTTAAGAATGAAATATATAATGTAATTTATATATTAATTTATGTGGAAAGCAGACTACCCAAAATGTGGCCAATGTTGCTTGATATGACCGAAGAGGAGTCCATGCAAAGCTTGAGGCATTTGGGTAATTATTGAAATGCATTCTTATCCACTTAGGGGCTGGCTAGAATTAATCTTCATTAAACTCCGATCATTTCGCTGTGAAACACAATCACATTTGTCAGTGGGATGTTGAGGGCACAGTTCCTTAACCTATGTGAAGGTGCTCACTAATTCCCTCACTTTTTCACATTCATTCAACTCAGATGTGATGCTTTCCAGCAATCGACTAAGATCCTCTGCCTAATAGATTTGAGTACCTGATTAACAGAGCTTTTACAAGCAAACTTTCTTTATGGACCTGTATACAACTCTCTTGCTACATGGCTACTCGACTTAATAGATTTACTGATTTCACATGGGTCTTAAGTTCGTTCAATCTGCATAAGCTTGCGTCTGATTATATTCTAAAGCTGTTCTCAAGTGCTGGGATCTATGTAGAGCACTAGTAATGAGTTACTTTCACCTCAAGTTCAGTCATTCTGTTTTATCATCAATCTCTATAGATTTTCTCTATTCTACCGTGGAAAATTTTCATGGGATGTTGTTGCCTTATATATAAAGTGCCTGGAGGCCTTTGTTTATGTTCACTCAACTTATGTATGTAGTTTTAGTATGCTTGAATCAAATTTTGCGATAGTCTCAATGGAGGTGGGTTTCCGCAAAATTTTCGAAACGGATTGAGCTAAAATTATAAACTCCGGTATTTCTTCACAACTGTTTTTGCGTTAATAATTGCGGATTTGTGTCGGAGGCGTCACTTAAAGGTAATCTACATAAATATTGCCCGAACTCTTTTGTTTGGCATGACACTGGTTATTCAAAAAGTGATTTCAAATTGTCAGTTTTGTTAGTAGCGTAGATACAAGCGCCAAATAACCTCGCTTCATCTCACAGTACAATCAATTGTCGTTCAATATACCAGCATTACCAAGAAATTAAAAAAAAACCTTAAGAGTTGAGCAGAAGAAGAAATCTCTGAGTGACCGTTTTCCATATTAGAACTACATATACCCAAGAAAAATGCAGTAATATTTTTCCAGAACTGGAAGCCTACGCTTCACTAGTTTCAGCTTTAAGGGCTCAGGGCTCCTTAAACCAAGACAAGAGAAAAATATTGAAAGAAACTAGTATCATACTGAATATATCCAACGATAGACACAAGGCCGAAGTGCGAAGAGCTATTAGCGATGAGAAACTCCAAACAATAGCATACCAGTAAGGTCTATTAATCCGTGTTGATTATGCGGATGAAAGCGATTATTATTGCGTTTTGTAGCTCTACTGGTCGTTTAGAGTCGTTTGAAGACTGGGCACAAGAGGGGCGCCGATTGGTGCCCTTATTGCCCAGAACGCCTCCTCAAACCTCCTACTCAGTTGTGGCAGATGATGCTTCCGATGCAGCGGTTCTGAGCAACAAGCAACTGCCACTGCCAGCCCATACCGAACGTAAACGGCCTCTGCCCCAATCTGTTAATGCTGTTAGCAATTCTGCAGAAGCCAATGGAAAGTCTGGGGCGTTTAGAGTCCCAGATATTCCAAAGGATGACGTCAAAAGACGAAAATGCCACAGTGTGGGCGAAACCAGCAGTTTAGCGCAACACTTATTAGGACCAAAACTGACAAAAATTCAGCAGCTATATCGGTAAGTTCTCCAAATCACGAAGTACCGAGCTTAGTAAGTAGCGTTGATATTTCAGACAAGCATCAAAGCCAGCTAAACTCAAATCTAAGGACACTGTTAGTGATATTGAAAACACTGATCTGAACAAATCAAAGTCTACTGGTCCAGAATTGCAACCACCAGCTTCTCTGCGTGTCAATTCACCTAAAAGTAACCTTCAGCAATTTTCCATATCGTACTCCCGGCCGGAGTTAGCTACTATCGAAGAGAAAACTGCAAAAGAAGTTAAACCAATTTGTACTTTACCCCTGAACGAAACACAAGCGCCCGTGTTGAAAAGTCTAACTGTGAAACCGGAGCAGCAGCTTGAATCCTCAAGGAAAAGTCCTGTGGTTGTGGAACAACTTGCCGAACCCGTCAGGCCTGCCATACCTAAAAAGACCATAAGCATAGGCCAGAAAGTGATTGTTGTTTCCAATGCTCAAACAATACCGACTAATAGTATTCTGCAGAAAACGCTATCAGTTCCCATGAACAAACTGACGAAATTCAGCCTGGACAAGTTTAAAATTCTGCCCAACAATCAGTTGCCAGCACGACTATCCACACCAGTCACCAATCACCATATGGTTACTTCAAAGCCTAAAATGGTAACAATTAAGGGCACCGCCAACAAGAAGATGATCCCTTTATCTCAGCTTCACATACTCAATCCCAAAACTAGTCTCAAAGTGATTCCATTTAGTGGAAAAATTGAAGACAACGGTTCGCTGAACAATTCCATCAAGGAGTTGAAATTAAAGCGACCTCCACCTATTCCAGATCATGCTCTCTCTGATTCTTTAGCAACTGGAATTCATGACGTTAACAATGTGGAAATAGTAAAGACTGAAACTTGCACGAATGGCACAGCTGAAAACGGCGCTGCTTTAACTATTGATGAGCTTGAAGCCAATATGGATGATTTCAGGATATCTCGATTAAATTGTGATGATTTAGAGAATATAGAAACTCTTAGTTCGGATAGCGGCGAGATGGGCGAAAGGGACAGCAATGGAGGATCAAGTGAGTTTTTATTTAAGGGTAGTTTATAAAGCTGATTGAAACTGGTGGGTTTTTCGGCCGGTTGCATCTTGAGAGGTGGTTTGCGCGGCACAGCAACCACCTATGAAGATGATTTATTTAATACTCTTTTAAACTGGCCTTAATATAAGTAACCAATCAATTAGTTAAGTCAATCGCCATTTAAATTTTAGATATCGAAACAATCGAAATAGATGACTGCGAATTTCTGGATACGGAACACAACGGTGAGATAATGCAGGAATTCGAAGTTATCCACACAGAGGAAATTCTAGAATAAGCAACATTGAAAAACGCAATACAAATTCAATAAGTTTATGCCATTGTCTTAATATTTTTATAAATTTGTATAGCTTTGTATTTATTTTAAGATCGTAGTTAGTATTTATATGTACATTCATACCGGCATCATTTAAATGGTCATTAGTCCTCGATGGAAAATAATAATGGTAATTGTAGATATCAATTGTAAATATAATATATGTTCGTAGTGAAGGTTTTTAAATTGAAAAATTCCCCTTGTTTTTTTTATTCTCAAAAAACTGATGAGGAGAAGTTTGAAATTTATTAACTCTTTTGAATACACATTTTAATTTATCGGTATCGGTAATCTACGGTTGAGTGACAATAAAGACGAACATAAAAAGAGAAGCTAAAGTAGCATTTAATCCGCGCTTACTTCTTCAGCGATTTCTGCATCGTCCCCCTGATCAGCATCTTTCTTGCTCGCTTCTGGGACCCACAAGCCGGAATCCACGCATCGTTTCATGTGATATTTGGCGTCTTCCTCGTCCATTTTGCTGATAGTCTCCTGCAGCAGTTTAACATCACGGGAATCGAAACACTTTCTCAGTTCTTCTGGCAATTCGTTATATACGTCTTGGGGATCCAACCCACCCGGCCCCAGTCGCTTTTGCTTTTCCTCCTCTTCATATTCCTGAAGATTGGTAGTTATCCGATAAGCGTACAAACATGTGATCAGATTGGATGAATTTATACCTTGATGGCTTCCTCGACTCTCTCCGCTGCACGTTTTCGAATTCTTTCTCGGAATTGGAACAGTTCATCTTCAAAGGATTTTTTGTAGTCCACTTCAGCCACTTGGATTTTCGAGTAAAACGCGTCCACGCACGCTCTTGGATCATAGTCAAGCTGTTTGGCCAATTCCAAAATGTATTGCATACAAATCGTTTGATGGGCAACATGGGACATCAGCTCATGTTTCTGGAAATTATTGCATGCTTAATATCTTCCTAAGAAAATTTGCGCAAATCAAATACCTCTTCCATTTCCAGATTTATGCACCAAATCACTAGATAGTTGGCAGTGTTTTCACAAACTAGATGGTTGTGTTCTTTCAGAAATTGTCTCGAATCTTCATACTTTCTCAGCATGCCATAATGTTTCAGGTCTTTTTCATTCTCCTTGATAAACAGCTTCATTTTCTTTTCCTTTTCTTCTTCTGACAGGTTTTCTTGGGATAGAATTTTCGTTTTTTTGTTTATTACGGTTTTAGCAAACCCTGGCTTGCTGATAGTATCTACATTCCATGGTGTTAACTGCAAGTTGAATTATCGTACTTTTATCGGGAAGTCATACACTTCTTTGGGTAAACGCGCGCGTTCTGGTACGTAAAATGTGCTAGAGCATACACAAGACTAATTAATGAAATTTCTTCTAATAGAAAATAACAGATTTTCAGTGTTTTCAACATCACGATAAAAATAGAATAACGTAGAAGTTAAGTTCACAATCACACAAAGAAAACTTCATAGAGTTTTTCCGCTTAAGTGAGGAAAACGAGGACAAGACGTTCCTGGAAATGTTCCTCTGTGATATACAGGGTGGTGCAATTGGAGTGTAATTTTGAAATTATTTTTTTGCAATATACTCCATGCATATAAGATACCATTCAGACTCCCTTCATACCTTTTCCTTCTTCTCGAATTCTTCCAGTTCATTTTTAATCTTCACTGTTTGAACCTCCAACTCTTTAAACTGCTTCTCTAGATCGGCGACTGAGCCGTTGGATTCCTTGGCTGCTTTGATTTTCTGACTCACTTCCTTAATTTTCATATCGGTTTCGGTTTTCTTTTTGGTCAAAATTTCCCGTTCCTTCTTCAGCTCCTCCATCCGCTCAACTCTGGCCTGATGCCTCCAACGGAACAGCGATGGAGTGTCGATGTTGGGATGAGTTTCATCTTCATCATCCGAGACCTTTAACAAATAGATAGAATAGACGAAGGTGGATATAAATTTATTACAAAATCGAAAAAATTCAAAAGAAGGTGTAGTTGATCAATTATGCGGTTCGTACTTCGATATTTTTCCATTTACTGTAATCAACCATTTTCGGATAATCTTAATAAAGTCTGAAGTACTCAAAGGGCGGCTGAATCTTGATGGCTCACACTTTTATCGCGAAAACCCGAATATTGGGGAAATTTCTGGAAATAACTTTTGTTTATTAACGAAGTACAATGTCAAATGCATCATAGAACAAGGCATAAATGTCAATCCGGTTGATTGACACCAAATTTTGTCAGTGTTGATCAGGGTGGCCAACCTTGCCAAGGCTGAGGACATGGTTGATGACAAAAAAAAATGGTCTTCCCTAGTGGGACACAGGTCTCAATGACATGAAAAGAGCCTTAACACTAGTTAAAAGCAAGATCCCGTGATATTTACACGTACAATTGGCGTACGGTAACGTGTTCGGGATCTACACCGTACAATTGCCCAAATTACTGTACATGTACGGTAATTACCGTACGAATGGCTACCATCGTGTTGATACTGATAACCTCTGTGATCTGTGTCTGTGAACGTTGTACTTGTCAATTACTTGTCTTCATCTATGGTAAAAGTAAGGTTAAGTGCAAAAAGTGTTGATTGTTGTGGGCGCATTTATTATTTCTGTTTTCTTGATAATTATATTGTTTTCAATTACACTGACCGCACTGAAACCTATGAAATTTTAGCCTCAATGGCTAACAACCATTAAATACCGGAATAACATTTAACTCAGCTTAGTGGAGCGTGCAGTCTTTCATGGAGCTTTGAGAGGCTCTAGTGGGTAAAGAGTGTGTTTTCCTGATACGAAATGGCTAAAATGAACGAAAGTGATCTCTACGGAACAAACTTATCCATCGAGTCAATGAAAGTGGTCGCTGAAAGCATTGGAATTGGCAATTTGCAAGATGAGGCTGCCAAAGAGTTGTCAGAGGACATTTCCTTTCAATTAAAACACATCATACAAGACGCTGCTAAATCTATGAATCACTCGAAAAGAATGAAACTGTTGCAGTCTGATGTTGATTCGGCGTTGAAAGCTCGAAACATCGAGGTACATGCTTGTTTTACACACTACCACAGTGCAGGTCATACAATTTTCCATTTCAGCCTCAATATGGTTTTCACTCCGCTGAACCGTTGCCGTTCAGATTTGCTTCTGGTGGGGGAAGGGAGCTACATTTTATTGAGGAGAAGGAGGTTGACTTGGGGGAACTGCTGAATGGTATCAGTCCAAAAGCCCCGTTAGAAGTTGGTCTCAGATCCCATTGGTTGTGCATTGATGGAATTCAACCAACCATCCCAGAAAATCCTCCTCCCGTTGCTAAAACGATTCAGAAGGTTGATTTGAAGGCTATTTTGCACATTTCTTTTACTGAAACAATTTTGCTTGTAATCTCTAGTTGGAATCAGTTGATCCGATTAACAAGAAGCCACTGAAGGAGTCAGCAGGCAAACCGAGTACAGGCAAGCAGAAGCTGAAAAATGTGGAAACTGTTCAAATCAAACAGCTTGCTACTCATGAACTATCAGTTGAACAGCAGCTTTACTACAAGGAAATCACTGAGGCGTGCGTTGGATCAGATGAAGCTAAACGAGCCGTAGGAAACACAATATTCCGATTATTAGACAACAAAATTGACTTTTTTTGTTGTATTTAGGAAGCCCTGCAAAGCTTGTCGACGGACCCTGGGCTGCATGAAATGTTGCCGAGAATGTGCACTTTTATCATCGAAGGAGTTCGGGTTAATGTGGTTCAAAACAATTTGGCCCTCTTGATTTACCTGATGCGTATGGTTAAGGCGCTGCTGGACAACCAGTCGTTGTACTTAGAGAAATATGTAAGCTCTGCAAACGCCAAGCAACTATTTCGCATTTACTGTTTGCGCAACATTTTCAGCTGCATGAGCTAATTCCTTCGGTCTCCACATGCATTGTTTCAAAGCAACTGTGCATGCGACCTGAACTGGATAATCACTGGGCGCTGCGGGACTTTGCTTCCCGACTAATGTCGCAGATTTGCAAAAATTTCAACACCAGCACCAACAATATTCAGACGAGGATAACCAGAATGTTTACCAATGCGTTGCAGCAGGGTGAAAAAATACCCCTATCATCGTTGTATGGGGCGCTTCAAGGATTATCTGAGTTGGGTACGGAAGTGACCCGAATTTTCATTTTGCCTAAAATTCGCAGCTTTGGTAAGTTGCAACACAATTTTTATATATTTTTTTTTATAAACTTCTTTTTGGGTATTTCGCCTCAAAAATTTTTGTTGCGTTTTTCTGCTATCGTTATCAAAAGAACCTAAATGAACCTAAAAAAGAGTGTTAAGAAATTGTGTAACAATAGTAGGATAATACAGTATATGAAAATTCGTCTGTGCAAATTGTCAGTTATGTGACTTTGACTTAATCTCATTGTTTAAATTAGTAAAGGTAATGTTAATTAATAATTTTGGTGTAAATTTAATTTGGGCGTATGTTTCTCCGGTCTACTTCAGATTTTAGCATAGGCAACCATGTATGACTTAAATTAAATGAACATAAAGCAAGACAATTATTTTGATTTAGTAAAATTAGTGCGCTTTCTTTAATTTTACGTTTTTTGTGGATTGTTCTTTTGTTAAAATTGTGGAATTATTCCATTGAATTTTATGGAAATTATCAAATGCATGTTGACAAATGTGTGATTTATCATATTCTCTGTTTTTTATGTATGATTGGTGTTCTTTGAGTCTTTTGTGTAATGGTCTTGAG